AGGACTTGATTTATGTATGGAGTTATAGTCCTATAACTTATAGGAATTAAGGCGGGTCTATTTGACTATTGTAAAATTATTATATATTAAAAGTAAAAAATTACTCATATTCCTATTATAATGCATATACACAAATTTGTATTCACAATGGAGGAATTCGATCTCAGTAATCATTAATTTGAAGTGTGTTATTTGTGCATTTTGACATCCTCCATTTTTTTATTCTTCATAATAAAAGGATGAAAGTATGTAAGTTAAATATTTTAATCCTTTAATTTTATTCAAAATTTTAAAATTTCTTGTACGTAAGTTATTAAATAACTAACCCTAGTTAGGGATTTTTTGATAGGTGAATAACAGTCTAATTTCTTGTATTTTGATGCTACAATTGCAATATCAAATAGTCTTGACTAATTTTATTATGTTGTTTATGATCAAGTATATTGTAAGAAAGACTTTGGTGACTGATTTTACATCTAAATATGCTTGAAGAAGAGGAAGAAGGTCACTTTTCAAGTAAAAATTTGAATGATAATTTTTTTTATAGATTATTATATATTTTGGTACAATATAATATATCTTCATTTGATTATAGTACGTATATTTCTGTTACTTAAAATAATATCAATTAGCCATTCTATCCTTCTATTTTTTGTTTATACTTTTCCTAATATAATTTTATTTTAACTTTTTAAGTAATCAATTTCAATACTAATATATTATGAATCTACAGCTTAGAAATTATGGATCTATCCTGTTAACAACAAATGAAAAACAAAATTATGAATCTACATTTTCAAACAAAAAAATAATAATAATTATGAATCAGTATAGAAATTATGGATCTACCCATGTGTTCACCATGCGCATGGTGAACACGTTTCCACAGCATAACTATTGTTTTTAATGTGTATGGGCTTAATTTGAAGTTCATAATATGGCCCCTAAACCATATAATAGGAAATTATACGTGTATGGTTGTTTTACATTTTGTTTCATACTCAAAAAATATGTCTTTATGTTGCTCTTATATTTGAACTTTACTTATTGCTTATTAATATTTTATTTCATTTCATTTGTTTAGAAAATTGCACTCCTACATGCAATAAAAAGAAAATTGCTATGGTGTTTTTCAATTCAAAAGTTGCTATCTACTCCATTGAGTGTGTTGACTATACTTTAATTGTAGAATATGAAGCCAACATCTTGAATATGAAGCCAACAACCATTCAAAACACATATGATACATCCTCATTTAGAGAAGAAAATTGCAAGACATTTAAGATGAATGGTACGAGTAAACCAGTTTTCGTTGTGAGCAATGGTGAGCTTACATTAGCATTTACAAATATATATGGTGAACTTCAAAGTTCAAATCATGAAAAACTTACCATCTATATTATAATTTTTTATATCAAGAGCTTAGTATGTTATTTACATTCTATTGCAATTTACTATCTTATAATTCTGTGTAGGAAAGAGGACAATAAAGCTAAAATACATGTCGAGGTTGTTGCTGACATTAAAGAAGTTCTCAATGAAAATAACGTGTTAGTCAAGTCATTCCGCAATTCTAAATCCGAGATCCATGTTAATCCACAAGAAGAGATTAAAATGAGACTAATTGGTAAAAGAAGTAAAGATGCAAGAACGTATAACCTATCAACAGTCTCAGAGGTTGCATCCCTTATTGTTGGCGATCTAGATCCAACTATAGGTGAGCTTGATATCTTGGTAGAGTCTAAATGTGGTCTTCTGAAAAGGCTAAGTGAATTGAACCCGGCTTACTTGCCATTACAATATTCACTTTTATTCCCATATAAAGAAGATGAATATATATATATGGAGGATATTCAATTTGCTGGACAGCATGCAAACAAACAAGGTGGTAGACATCATATATCACCCAGAGAGTACTTCGCTTTTTGTATGTATGAAAGGACAAGTGAGATTTCAACTCTATTGTATGCTAGAAGATTATACCAGCAGTTCTTGGTTGATGCATACACAATGGTGGAATATGGAAGGCTTATTTTCATAAGGACCAACCAAAAAGCTTTGAGATGTACTGTGAAGCTTACAAAGGGTTGTCAGACGCGTTGATGCAAGGAGAGATTGAACCTAGCACGCAAGAAAATCATATAATTTTGCCATCAAGTTTTTGGTTGTTATAATATTGTGTTTCCATGGCTTACCCTTGATGTCCTAAATGTGGTGCTCTCTCGTCCTTTTAATTGCAGGGAAAATTATGCAGCTATAGCAATAACTACATGCCACTGATGTTGTTAGCAAGATCATAGTATGGCTATTGAGTTGGAATGAAGTAATTAATCTTATCTGATCTTCTATATATTTATTTATTTATTGCATTGCATTGCTTGCTTGCTACAATAATTAGCGAGCTGAGCTCTTTGTTGCTCATATTCTGATCTGCAGGTTGGAATGAGGAACACGTATAAGAGTTGTTGGCATGACAATTGGCAAAGGCTTCTAGCCGGGATCATCCATCCTAACATGGCGACAATTCTTGGTATACGTCATTTAATTTTGTCTCCTAATTCTGCTCTGAAAATAGTATTTGTTTCTTTTACTCGTTGCTACTATACATTTGCAAATATTAAATTTCAAGTTGTTATTACTGATGCCTCAGTTACAAGTGATGTTTGAAGATGAATGGTACAGGTTTTCTGTTAACCTGGCAAAGTGTTAACCAAATTACTCTAAGTAACAGTGTTGCCTTATCTACTTTAACTTAGCAAATTAAAGGAAAAAATACCAGCTCAGTTAATAGTCTTATTTAAACTGCAAGCTTAATTTTTAATTCTCTACATGTCTATAATTTTCTAGTGATAAATATATTTATGAATGAATTAATAGGGAACTTAGGATGGTATAAACTGTTAATTAGATTCCAGGAGGTGTTATATTACTGCTGCAATTGGTTTTAAAGCTGCTGGGATGTATGGTGGATTGCCTGCACTTGTGATGTAGATGCCAATTCTGCCTCAAAGTGCCCAATCTCAATTTGATTGGTTTATTTATTATTTTATTTTTAATATAAGACGTTCTTAACAATTCACGATGCCTTCAGGTTGCTACATATGCAAATATTTCAGGTTGTTACTATTGATGCCTCAGTTACAAGTGATGTTTGGAGATGAATGGTACAGGTTTCTGTAAACCGATTTTCGTTCAAATTACTGTAACAGTATTGCCTTAATAATACCAGTAAGATTATATTTGGTGCTCTTCTATGGCCCAGTTAATAATCTTATTTAAACTGCAAGCTTAATTTTTAATTTAATTCTCTAAAAGTCTACAATTTTCTAGCGATAAAGATATTTGTTTTGATCAAATTTTATCTTGTTTTACCTAAGCCGTATTATGATTACTTCCATTCATTAACTGTATAAAACATTCTAAACCTCTCAGGTACCGGTAAGATCTCTACTTTGAATAGCTAGCTCAGAGGTAAACATTCTAAAATTGCACGTTTAGTTGCATCTTCTTCACTTACCAAGGCATATATGCAGTTCTGACATATTCCCAACTGATTTCCGCTCTCTATTCAAAGCCTCCTCAGGCAGGGATCCAAATTGCTTGTGCTGCTGGCTGTGAGGGAATTCCTTTCAAGTTTCAACCCAAATAAACTTGGAATATCACTAGGAGATATTCTGCTTATGCATTTGATAGGTAACAGCAATTACTCGACTCCTTGATCGATATCTGGAAACATGCATCCGAGAGCACCATACACATCCATTGCTTGTATATTCTTTTTTGAATTACGATGGGAGAAGACTTGGCCTTTAGGCTTTGCGTGACTTAAGTTTCCACTATGCTATCATTGTCTTTTGCTCATCCATCTTCAACTTTCTTTCAATCATCAATGATCTTTTAATTTTAAACTTGCAGCTTTGCAGCCAGTAATTATATGAGGAAGGCTGGGGAAACTCATGGTTCAATTCCCATACCCAGCAGGAAGTGGAGTTGCATGGGGCTGCGACTTAATTGAGTTATGATTATGTGAAGATAAACGCGGAGTACACAATGTGAATGTAAATCTACTACTATACAAAGGTTCTCCATCATGGCTCACCCTTGGTGCTCCAGCTCCTAGCAATCCATACAAACTGCGCTTGTCATATGTGTACACTAGGTCTCGGATCAGATAATTTTAAAGCCTAGCTTGCATCTTCTGTATTCTTGGTTTCTATACATTATCATAGTTTATCTCATTTTCCCCACTTCTGTTCAATAAACTGAGGATAATGAAAGCTCTTCACGAGGGTGTTTGTAGTCCTTGCTTCCATGGATTGATGTAGATTTCGTGACCTCAAAGGCAGGTTTTTTCATGTTGTTCATGGTTGTATCACTGCTCCCTTTTCTAATTAGCCACCACTTTAACTAACCTCTCCAAAATGCATCCTTAGTAGACTTAGATTTAGTGATGCACAAGTAAAGCTATCATAACGAGGCTCATTGGGTTAGCTCGTCCTGCCTCGCAATAAGGACACTTTCAACAGTTGTATGTGCAGGTGGGGCGGAGATTGTAGAAGAGGAGACAGCAGTGGCAGACAGTTGCTATGGCCTATGGGTAATACACTAATACTGCTGCTTGAAGTAGAGAAGATCAGAGTTCTGATATTTGTAGGTTCCATTGTGATCTCCACTGATAAGTATATACTTCTAGAGAGAGAAACAGCATAAAAGTACACAGAAAATTGAACACTAAAAAAGGAAGAAATATATGAAGTAGCAAAATTATTTAGAGAGCCTCAATGTTGTTATTATTTGGTTACAACCATAAAACAAAACACACAAAACTCGGGAGTTATTCCAGTGATCACAAAAAGTTGTGACAACAAATTCTTATTTATTTACAAAAATGATGAGTGGGGATGAAGTGAAGAGATACTTCTGATGGGAGGGAGGGGTTCTCAGTCCTCACCTCACGTAGCCTCTGCAACTGCAAAGTGCAACTTGGGGACAGATTTCTTCAGAAAACTACTTCCACAGAACGCCGCAGGGGGGCTGCCAATATCAAAATCCACAATGCTGGTCTGGACCTCACTGGAGGCGACCAATATGCTGGTGCTGCTTTCATCCAACAGTGGGAAATCCCTCTTAGAATTGGAGCTACTCCCGTGTTTCCGAACTTGTTTCTTGTCTTTGGCCTTGCTGCCCCGAGAAGATTTGGCACTGTTCTTCTGTTTGTTCTTTCCTTTCTTCTTGCCATCACTCCTGTGCCGAGGTCTGTTCTTTGGCACATGAGACACTGATGTTGGAATTGGATCATATACATCGGGAGCCCATTTCACACTGAGCTTCTTGGGTGGTGTTCCCAGCTTTTCACGGCTACCTTTCATGGCAGATATGAACTTCAAAGGAGTCTGCAAGATAATGAATCATGAAGCACAAAGGTAGAGAAAGACTGTTGAAAATGAAGGAAAAAATCTGAAAACAAGAACAACTCCAATCCAGAAATAGCATTCTAGTGCCAGAAAGAAATTGAAACATAGTTATGGAGCATTATTTACTTTCAATAAGTCCTATGATGACCATTAGACTGTAATAAATAATAATATAAACATATACATACTCCTACACCGACAAGCCTAAGGTAAATAGAACACTGACCTTCTAAAACAACTACTCTGTTAATCAAATTCCTTGTATCCCTTTGTAAGTATAATATGGAGACACTACCAAAAAAAATGTAAAAAGCACCACAGAGACAGTTAGATCTTACAGGCAAGGATTTAGAATGTGAAAGCAGACGATTAGCAGAACTTTCATCATCATTAAGCACGCCAATATCTGCAGTTACATCATCATTTCGCTCCTCTTTCCTGCCAATGAATTCACTGGGAGATTTACTCTTACTGGAGCATGGAAATGTTGCAAACTTGATCAGACACTTCTCTGTATCCAAATTGCTTGACTGACTGTAATGGTTATTTTCTGACCCATCATCTTTATAAGACTTCGGTTTTATCTCATCACTTGATTCCTCGTCCTCCTTAATACTTAGGAACTTAGTCAAATGGTCCCTAATATCACTTGCATCAAAATCTTCAAGAGAGTCGTAAGCACAGTGGTTAAGATCCTTCACTAAGTTGCCAGAGAAACTTAGATTTTCAGAAACAAACTTCATACTAGAAGCAGTGTTGTCCATCAATCAGAAACAGACCTGAGAGAGGTAATGAACTGACTTCAAGTAATGGCAATGTTGAGAAGATAGTAATAACTCAAGTAACTGAATTTCAATAAATATGACAGTTGACTAAGCTATAGGATAAAATTCAATTACATCCAAATTAGAAGAAATAAATGGTAGATAAGAAGAATAGAATCACTGAGAAGAAAGATGGACAAACACAGGCCAAGACTTGTATTCTGCAATTCACAAGTGTTTATGCACATACATATCCATAAAAGGTCCACTATGGTCAAAGCCAAAAATACCTGAGAGCTCAGCTTGTCACAACTTGCAGCCTGATTCAATTTCTATTTGGAGTAATAGTCTAATTGTAATTCGTAAGCTTAAAATCATCAAACCCAAATGTGTCAAACAGCTCTTGACAAGTAAATAGAGCTATACTTGAATACAATAAACCAAAGCTCACTATGGAAAGAGCTTTGCATGCAATTTCCATTTGCCTGTCAAAGGATGGACACTTTGTAATTCTACAACTTACATCTGGAATAAGGACACAAGATAAATGCAATCTCAATTTAGCTTGCAATCTCAATTTAGCTGTCAAAGGATATACAATTTAAATGGCTACAACTTGCATACAGAATTAAGGGCATACAGAAAACATAAATATAATTTAGATACTATTCCATTTAGATGTCAAAGGAACAGAGCACCATTAATGTATGATGTAAATAAATTCCACTGTAAATATCTAAGAAAAGATACCTTCTGAAGAGCCTTGTCAAAATCCTCTATAAACCCTTCAAACACAATCACGAAAACAGATCGGATTATCAGAGTAACCGATCTTTTGGAGAATGAACCTTGGAAAAATCCTCTATAAACCCCTCAATCACAACCACAAAATCGACCTGATTATCAGCAGAATATATCTTTCGAAGAATGAACCTTGTCAAAATCCCCAATAAACTCCTTAACCACGAATCACAAAGAAGACCTTATTATCAAGGGAATGATCCTTTGAAGAATAAATCCAGCAATCACAAAATCAACCCGATTAACGATCAAAAGCGAAGACCGACCATATTTTCCGAGAAAAAAAGAAGCAGCTAAACCGTCCTACCGTAGCATCTAGAAGGGACAAGGACAACGTAAAGGAGGAAGAGAAAGATAACCAAGGAGAAAGCAAATGTTAACTAATACTACTACACCGAGGTTTCAGACGATGAAAACACAAGACGCCATAGAAGCAGGTAGCATACGGACTGATGACGAGCAGATCGAGCAAGAAAGAAGGCACCGACATCGTTTGATTCGATGCTCTTCGATTTGATACTGTTTTCCCCTAAACCCTAAAAATCAAAAGCTTACCACTCTCAAACCGATCGGCGAAGATGTAAATCCGGATGTGAAGAAATGGATTGTTGAATTTCGTGAAACTGAGGAATAAATACTGATTGAAACAGAGATCGCGATTACATCGGCGTGGAAATGGAACGAATCATGAGACTTGAAGACGAAGAAATTGGATCGAGCAGAAATGCATTTTACTCGGAGTCGGAGTTGACGTTGAATTTATATATCCAATTCATAGATAGATAGATTAGATAGGAGTGAAAAGACAGAAAAGTGCAGAATTCGAGAGAGAAATACAAAAATGTGCAAAGTGTGAAGACTTGTGGCAATATTAAAAATTTATTATAAAATACTTGTAATGTTTATAATATCATTAATATCCACAATGACAAGATTAAATGAGAAGAAGGTCTACCGGTAAAATGTGAAAATTGATTATAGTTGTCCATTAGTGTTTATGAATGGTTAAAGATTTTATTAAAAAAAAAAATTATTTTAAACTTTTAAGTTTGTAACATTTATAAAAGGGTAATTCTATTTGCCATCCAATTTGCTATTTATACCACTCCTTTAATAGGTATAATAACTTTATAGGTTGTGTAAATAGAAAAGTCCACAATCATTAAATGTGGTCAAATATTAATATTTATTATTCTTTTTTTTTTTAACAATCAAAATATTAACTTTTTTTTTTTAAAAAAAAAGATGAATATGTCACCTTCTCTAGTGAGAAGGTGACCCAATGGGCTGTCTTGTCACCGGAGAAGGCAACCCAGTTTAAAAAAAAAAAAAAAAAATCTCGTCACCTTCTCACCAGGGGCTGCCTTCTCACCGGAGAAGGCAACTGGGCAAAGCTACCTGGGTCGCCTTCTCACTGGAGAAGGTGACCCACTAGGCTGTCTTCTCACGGGAGAAGGCGGGGGTTCAGTTTTTTTTTTTTTTTTAATATTTTAATTAATTAAATTTTGAATTAAAAAATTATTAATTGCAAGTTTGACCAAGGTTGTGCAAATAGCAAATTGAACCCCATTTGGCTATTTACACCATCTATGTAATTATTAAAAAATTTCACATTTTTACAATTTCAAGATACTTTGGCTCTGTTTGGCAAACTTAACCGAAAAGCTATACGTTAGGAACTAAAAGCTGAAAAGGAGTTGAAAGTTTTAAAGATATAAGCTCGGAGCTGAAAACTGAAAAGTTGTTAAGATTGAATGTGTTTGGTAAAATTAGCTTTTTGATAAGCTGATAGGTGTAAAAAGACTAAAAATGACATCTTCATAGAATTTAAATTAATTTGTTTACATATTAAAATTTAACATTTTGTCTTTTAAAAAATTTAACATTCTGAAATAAAACTATTAACATAATCATGATCTAGCATATCATAATGAAGTAGCAATATTGTTGCAAAATCTCATAATAATAATAATAATAATAATAATAATAATAATAATAATAATAATAATAATAATAATAATAATAATAATAATAATAATAATAATATTTGCAGTGAAAGTTGCAGATAAAGAAGAAGAGAAAAATGTTTTAATTGGGAAGGATAAATTATGTCATTTCTTTAAAATAATAAGGATAAAAATGGAAAAAAAAAGTTAGGAAGCTAGGAGCTTATTTTGAAACGTTACCTTCCAAAATAAGCTACATTACCAAACAAATTTTGAAAACATTGTCAAACAGAGCTTATAGCTTATTAGTAGCTTAAAATAAGGTATAACCTTTGCCAAACAGAGCCTTTATACCCACTTTTAGTCAAAGGGTGATGCAAATAGATGGATAGATCATATTAGTCCTCACTTTTTATATAAGAGAATGTCCCAAGTCAACTACTTTTCGAGTTAGTTAATACCTGCACACTAAGGTTTGAACCTGAGACCTCAGATTTAAGATGCAATAGCTATATAGCTTGACCATGAGTCATTTGGCATTTAAAAGTCAGCTATTAGTACATCAAATTTTTATCAAAATATTTTCAAGTTTTGAACATGACCATTTAATTTCCTCGTTGTGATGTTTTCCCCTAATCTCCTCTTTGTTCTCGTATGTGTCTTTCCATTCTCTTTATATCATTAATCTTATAAAAAAATTAAAATATTATCTTCCAAAATACTTAAAATTGTTCCAATCTTTAATCCGACCCAACCAAAAGTAAAGTATTTACACATAAGATTCGTATCAAATATTTTCATTGTCCAAATCGAAGCCAAACAAAAACTTGTCCTGTTTACTGTGCATCCAGGATTGAACCCGACGTGAATTGGTTGATGAGTTGAAAAAATATAAAATGTGGCGAATTCAGGATTGAACCCGACGTGAATCGAACACGCAACCTTTTGATCTGGAGTAAAACGCACTACCATTGCGCCACGGATCCACAAGCGTTTATTTTGATCTTAGACTATAAAATTCTGCTATTAGTTATACATACGTATTTAATCAAACATATGTGGGCGACGTTCCATCTATTTACCTACAATTAATAGCTCAATTTCATAGTAACTAGAAACCTACTAAAAATTTTTAATCTCCTAAAAATGTTGTTAACTAATATTATTAATAATTTCCTTTATATAACCTGCTTGGTTGGCGTAAGTGACTATACACTCTTGTCCCTTGAGAGAGATCGAGAGATCGAGAGTTCAAACCCCCTCTCGTATGGATAAACCAATATGGCCAGCACTTTGTCCCTTAATTGGACCGACCCAGTGCGTACAGGCTTAAAGGGGCAAATTATATCATGCACCGCGCGTCCTTTTGTTAAATGAAAAGAAACGGTGTTTGTTTTCCGCCGTTTCGCACCCTTTCGCAAAAAGTGACCCTGTTATTCAGTGTCATTTTGTATACACTGCCGTTTCAGTTCAACACAACTACAGTTTCATTTCGATATAACTATAGTTTCATTCGATATTTATAGACTCAAATATGTGAAAATGTTATTTAATTTAATTTTATATACACTATAGTTTCATTAAAACACAACTACATGATCATTTTGATATAATTACAGCTTCATTGTACAATATACACTCAAATATGTGAAATGTTATTCAGTTTCATTTTATATACACAGCAGTTTCATTTCACTATAACTACAGTATCATTTTGATATAACTGCAGTGTCGGTTTAGATATACTGTAGTGTCAGTTGGTGTTTAATACACCAAACAAGCGGACTCCGTTAACTATAATGGCGGGCCGTTTCCTTACTTAAAGAAACGACGCCGTTTTTTACCGCGGTGCACATGCACCGCCGTCTATGATATAACGACTGCTTAAAGGTGTCTCTTACTAGGGGTGAGCATTGGTCGGTTACGGTCAATAACTGACGCCTCTTTTTTAATCCACGTAACCCACTGAAACTGACCGACTATATGCACCTAATCGATAGAAACTAAATATGTCAGTTTCGATCGGTTATTTCGGTAACCGAAAAACTGATATTATTTACCCTCCACAATAAATAAAAATGTAAAATTATAAATAGTAAATAAATGGACAGTGGACAATCAACACTGGAATTCAACAGACACTTCACAATTCAAACTAAGGTTATGTTTGGCAAACCTAGCTGAAAAGGTAGCTGAAAGCTTACAAGGAGCTGAAAGCTGAAAAGCTATAACCATTTTGATGCTAGGAAAACCCCCGAGGAAAGAAATGAGTTAGCGGTTGAGCTCGAGATTCCTGTGGGGAAGTTGAACCTCGCGGTTCAGAGTTTAGGAGGTGATGTGGGTGATGATGAAGAAGAAGGCCATGAAGAGGAGGACGCGGACGTTGGAGCAGCTGCCGAGGTTGAGGAAAGTGATCTGGAGAGTGAAGAGAACCGGAGGAGGAGAGAAGTGCGAACCAAGAGAGAGCACGATGCTATGTAGCACGAGGAGCGTGTGGTCACCCTTCTATGCCAACAAAACCGGATGATCGAAGAGGGTTTTGCTTTCATGAAGACGCAGTTTGTTGCAGTTCATCAAAGGTTGGATCAGATAGAGACCAGCTCAAGCCAAAGAGGAGAGGCTGAGGAGTCTGATGAAGACACCGAGGAATCAGAGAGCGAGTTGTTCTAGTGCGGTGTTGTGGTAACCCCGTTTTCCTTTCCTCGTGTTGTTACCGTTTGCTTGTTGCCTTGTTGTTTGCCTTGTGAGTTCGTTCTTGTTTGCTTGTTGTGTTGAGTAGTTAGCTTTGTGGGTTGTACTAGGAATTAGTGGTTTAGAACCTTTGGTGTTGGTTAGAAGTTTTGTGGTTGTGTTTGGTTTAGTGTTCGTTATGCGCAAAGAACTCTATTGGTTATTTCTTTCAACGTCTCAATGCTATGACTTCTTGCTTGTTTTGGTACCTTTTGAACCCTTTAAGTTTTGACCAAAAGGGGTATTCTTGACACTCTTGTCACATTGTTGTTTCTTTTTACCATTTTGCCTTGATTCGTCTTACCCAAGCTTCGGGGACGAAGCTTCTTTTAAGGGGGAGAGGATGTGACACCCTGCAAATCCAAATTCTATTTAGGGATTAATTAAGTAATTAATCCTAATCTAATTGGTAATTTATTCTTTAAATTCCTGAAAATTCAATAGTCGGGAACTAGTAATTGACTAGTCAACCCAAGTCAATGAGTTGTACTCTAAGCTTTGTGAATAGTTCCCTTGTTCCCTTACACTTTTCCATCTTAGTAAGGGTAGTGAAGACATTTCACCTCATGATTGTATTCCAAGCTAACCTAGAAGACATCTTTCATTCTTTCCCTAACACTTTCAAAACAAAAGCTCTTCCTTCTATCTAGAAATTTAGCTAGCTTTTCCTTCAAGCTAAGTTTGGGTATTCCAAGATCTTCAAAGTTTGTCTCCAAGATTCCACCTTTCTTACTCTTGAACATCTAGGAGGATAAGATCTATGGTCCTTTTGTATTTTTAGTGCTTTCTAAGTTATCTTTTTCTAAAGATGAAATCTTTATGGTCTTTTGGTGTGTTCTTGAAGTTGGGGTTGAAGTAGAACCTTGTTAGGAGCTTGAAAATGTGTATTAAGTGAAGGTTTTGTCTACAAAAGGTAACCCATGTTTTACAAAATCTATTTTACTTACCTATATGATGATTTCTTGGATTCTACTTGTGGTTTTGCTATGAAATGTGGGTTTTGATGCATTGTCTTGTGAGAATGCATATCTAGAGCTTGTTATTAGGGTTCTTGTATGCCATTGCTTGGCTACT